GAGATACAGAGGCACGTGAAAATTTATATGACGTGCCCGAGGTGGCACTTGGCCCAAGAACCCCCTGGCAAAACTTTAGTACTTACGCTTACCTAGTTGCCAAATTGAAATCCCCAGACAGACACACATAGAATGCAAAACATACACACACGGTGGGTCGCCATAATATGTGTTTCTCGCTAACTTTTGCAGCGCTACAGCACTGCAACACAAAAACGCACAAAAAGGAAAAAGAATCATTATAATTTTGAAAAAGTCGAAAAGCATTTCACCTGAAAGCGCTCTGCAGGAAGAGCACACAGCACTCCAGATTATTATCGGTTGTCTCCGTTCTTAATAAAACACTAAGCGCGATAAGTTCCTTACACGGGACATGATTCAAATGTAGCACAACATATTCAACAAGTTCCATCACTTTTCGCTTAAATAAAAAAAAAAAAACACTTAGGGATCCAGCAATTTTAATGAAAAGTAATAGCCGGAAGACTGTATCAATTTCGCTTAGTAAAAAAAAATCTGATTTTTTCAAAAGTTCTCGGACTGGAAACGGTTATGCCTTTAGAGCTGCTCGCAACAACTAAACATTCAAAATCAAGTTTTTCATAAAGCTAACTTGTATTCGGGGCGGCTTCTGCCCTATATGCTCAATCATTTGCGACAACGCACAATCCTTATCAGCAATAAAATAGTTGACCGCATCTGAGGCGTATATATTATGAACAGCATCAACCACCGCCTCACATACCCGCTCACTTTTGCACTGAAATGATGACACTTGACAGCTTCAAATTCAGTAAAAATGAAAAAAAAAGCAACGCGCACCAAGGCAGCCAGCGCGATCATGCGTTTTGTGCAATTCCGTTCACTGAACGATTGCCTGCTAGTGCTTTTCACCGCTTTGAATTTAAATTTGAGGGATTGCACATGGTCACGAAACACCTCCCCAAAATTTCAGCTTCCTAGATTTCACGTCCACGAGATAATAATTTACCCGTCAAAAGTTTCAGGGGGCCGTATATATTACCCGCGAGAACGGGAAGGCAGAAGTTAAATTTTCTGGGTCGCACGTCAGCGGATGTACCCACAAAATTTTAGTTTCCTAGCTTTCGCGGTTGTCGAGATAATGATTTTACCCGCCATAAGTTTTACGAGGCTGTACGTGTTACCCGCGGGCACGGGAAGGTTAATTCAAGTTTTCTGGCTCATATGTGGTCAGGGGACATACCCATAAAATTTCAGCCCCTTAGCTTCCGTGGTTCTAGAGATAATGATTTTATTCGCCAAAACTTTTAAAGGGCCGTACGTGTTACTCGCGGGTACGGGAAAGCTGAATTTAAATTTGCGGGGTCACACATGGTTGGAGAACGCTCCCCTAAATTTTCAGCTTCTCAGGTTTCGTGATTTCTGAGTTGAAAGTTGCGGGCAAGTTGCTGCGGACACACACACACACACACAC